GCGATATTTTTACAAGTCTTATCGACAGGAAAACGTGCAAATGCTATCTGCGACATATGCGCGCATTTTATGCTTAATCAATAATGCCTCGTCTCGTTATCAATAATTTTAAATATGAACAAAAAATTTCACCACGTTCCACTTCAATATTAAACAAGGCACCGTCACAAACAAGGCTTCTGAACAATTTATCTTGTAATGTGCGTTGCACTCGAGCTAAACAGTTAATTAAGTGGACTATATTTTTTATAGAAATATAATAGAATCTCCTCTGTCGGAATTTTTTTTTTTTTTTTTTTTCGTATATCATAATACCACGTATAATTTAGATAAATTTCAATTATTGACAGACATTCTGTTCTGATGATATAAAATATAGATATAAAATTATAGATATTAATTCTTGTAAATTTATACATTAACTTCTTAATTTATATTTATATCTATTATAATTAAAGCATCTTATTGATTTATATTATTGTACGATATTATATTTTGCTCTCTGCTTTTCTACCTTCGAATTTATTTAGCAACGATAGTATTTAATGGAAATATCTTTGGAGAATTATTTTTTCGAATGATGGTAACGTTGAATTTTGTACTATGAACATAAGCGATGTTGAACGCACGAGGTAACATAAATGTTTAGATTTCCCGATCGTTTATCACATCCGGTTGTAGTTAATTACTAATAAACACCTGCAACACGCAAAGCTTAATACACTGTGACTGGGCACGAATTATTTATTTCTCGCAATTTTCTTCTGGAAATATCTTGAACATTTTATATTTACAGTGAATTGAACAATCTGCTTTTGCACGATATCTTTACATAAATTATTTTATCCTGCAATAATTGTGAACGTACAATATAAATAAAAGAATAACACAACACTCTTAAAATTAAATTAACAAAATAGGATTTAATTCTATCTCTATAAAGTTGAATAAATTGGATAAAAAATTTTTATTAGTGTTTACCGAGCAATCTTTCACTGAAAATTATGTCAAAAACAAGCATTGAAATTAATCGTGTGTAAGTGTTATTAGATAAACTTTTTTTCTTAAAGTTCTGCAGCTCTAAAAATATTCCAATGATAGCACTTGTCAAACCAGTTTACGTAACAGGATATTACGACGATTTAATAAAAATAGAAAAAATATAATATTCAAATCGGATATTCTGCGATTGAAATAAAAATTGGACTTTGCTCTTTCTCGTAAAATATTCTCACGACTTGGATAAAGCTGCCGAGAGAGGGAAGAGAAACATTTTTATATCAGATCATTAACGTTATTTCCTTATCATTTCGTTGTTAATTGACGTGCCCCGATAGATATTCATTTCGGTCTTCCGATAAAAACTTCCGATAAAAGCTCTACTTTGTAACGCACGTAAAAGAAGAAACTTCTCTTTCTCCTCGCTTTCTCTCCCGCCACTTCGATTCGGTCATATCCGAGCAAACTGTTGTTATCGTCCACGGCCGACATATTTACGGCGATCCTCCGTCACTTCACTATTTAACTATCGGGGCGCAGATATTTC